GTGATTTTTACATATCAATTTAAAAGCAAGTAAGACATGTAGGCATCCGTCTTTGATTTCCCACAGGGAATGGTTAGGCATTGTAGAATTTGATACAGATCTGGAGATGAAACCACGGCATTCCTCCTAAAGAAATGTATTGCTTCAGTTCATTTAGAAACTTAATGTATAACTGAAGAAAATTTTTGTTAAGAAAATTCCTTTTTCTTTTTTTTAGTTACACTTATATTGTAATTAATTCGGAGTACAAGAACATTTCTCTATATAAGGACATATAATATCAAATAAATATACACTGATTATGGTGAAATCAATGAAAAAAACTTTAAATCAATATTTAAAAAAACTTTAAAAACAATTCCTTCAATATTCAAAAGCATCAAATGTGGGACGAATAACAAGTAAGTAAATCCATCTTTATTATGTTACTTGTTGATTATTATCTTATCTGGTTAAATATTATGTGAGTGATTGATTGTGTTGTGTTGTACGATTTGTGTGAAAATGGTTTTAGGTTGCTCTCTGCGGGAACCTGATCACACGTTATAGTTTTAGACGCATGGATCAGACACTATGACCCATCACCATTTCAATATTTCACTATGGTAGATGAATACAGCATAAATTAATCATAAGATAGTACTTGTACAAATCTTCACTACCATATATATCTAGATGTAAATCCTTTTCCACAGATATGAGAATTTTTCTAAAATATGAGGTATGTTTTTGATGTTGAAGTAATTTGGAATTTTATGAGAATGAAATTTTAATATGGCTGTTATGCCATATTTAGTATGTAGACTGCCTTTACGAATTAGCAACCAAATGGGCACGTTTCTCCTTCCAAATCTTATTAAAACGATCATATAAAGCTGCAAAGTAATCGCCATTGTTTATTTCCTTCAATGAAAGGTGATAATCATAAGATACATTTTACCGCATATATTTAGAATATTTCGGTACGGGTTTACCCAGTGAAGGTGTACGTCTTGATCACAAATTCGTCTGGGTTGTAATACGATGTTATATTTCATTGGATATGGCTTAATAAAAACTTACCAGAGTAACTATTGTCTATGATATTTAATAATATTGTCCTTTACCGAAGAGATCTCTTCACTGTAACTTCTTTTCTTTGTTATTATGAATTCAAAGTAGCAAAAATATATTTAAAGAGACAAGATATTTTCTAATAGTTGTATTCAATTTTTATAAATTTTTATTTTAGAAATTTTTGAAATGGAATGGAATCGCTTAACAAAGAAAAAAAATATTTAAAATATAACAAAATATCATTAAATAAAAAATTTATAAATGGATTAGATTCTATACTGATACTGATTGGATTTAATCAAACGGCACAATCATATACATTTTTTTTGGTTACATCAACGTTTTGAAACTAATAAGAACTAAATGTAGTCTTTTCGGTGAACCCGATCCCGAAACCGTATTGCTTAATAAGGAATAAGGAATAAGGAATACAACAATAATGTTCACTAGTTGAAGACTACAAACTCTAAATCAAAGCTTATAAAGCAACCGCAACAATTCACGAAAAAATCAGATAAGGATCGAATAAAAAGTGAGTAAATCAATCTATATTTTCGCTGAACTAAAAAAATGTATAATTAATTATTTTATTGGTTACTTATATTGTATGTGTATTGTTGCCTGGCTTCTGAAAAAGTGATTACAGACCTCCTGTTATAACGCGATATCTTCATTTTCGCGGATTTAAGTAACCAGTGTTCCATGATTAGACTATATTTAATGATGACATCTTGAAAAATTTAAATTTTAATTCTTCCCACTGAATTAAAGCTGTACCACATTGGCTAAATGAACTCTGTGTGTGAATATGTTCTTTCTTGATTCCATCGTTCACCTACATTAATAAGAAATATTTATTTCTGTTTATGACTTCTAAGATTGCAGATTGCTAAATCATCACCAACCTATTCTAGTTTAAACGATTAAAGATGAAGTCAATTCTCACAGTTAAATATTAATCAGTATTTGATTCGTTCGTCTGAAGTTAGTCTGTAGTTAATACAATTTTCAATCTGTAGCATTAGTAATTAAGAGCTCGTAATCAATCGCTCATTTTTACTTTTTCATAAGTTTGAAACCTTTGATGTAAAATAACACCCCTGAGTCATTACACGCGCAATAGACCAAAATATAAGGTGTTGTATATAAAAGGTATTCTCATATCTATATAGTCAATTTCACGTCCAATTAAATTGTTAATCATGAGGTTGTAGTGATCAGAATTGAAGTTTGTCTGATCAACAACACTGCCAGATCAAACACCATACAGCGCCACACTGTGACTTTTTGTCGATGGATTTAAATCTAAATACTCCATATCCAAATTTAAGTTTGTCAAGTGAAGAAAATTCGATGCGGATTGTTTTTTCCATTTGTAATACAAGTTTATTCAGTTTTGACATAATAAGCGGTTATTAAAAGATCTATATAATGAAACATGCAATGCAGTTATAAGTTGGATATGAGTTCTGTTTGACAAATAACACTGACACAGTACTATAAAATGAAGAGTATACAGTAGATAATCCTTTGTGTGTCCAAATGATTCTTTATTCTTTTAAGGTCATCCAAAAAATTTGATTTGTTTAACTGTTTTATATGAATCTCTTTATTGTCTAATCGGTGCTCTCCTGTTCCAAATTAGTAACTACTAAACAAATTTTTCAGATTTAAAAACAGAAAATAGTAATTAAACGCTAACTTCGAGTTAAATGATGGATATTAAAGCAATTTGAAGTAAAATTCATGAAGTTTAACAATAGAAGCTACGTACATTTGCACGGCAAGGCATCAACTTGATGGAAGAACATACCTGACAAATTTAGAATATTTTAAACTTTTTTTTTGAATGGATGCCTTAGTTTTAAAAATTTACTTTATTTAAACCAATACCATTGGAGAATGGAATTGGTATATACCAACATTAATAATATTTAGTGTTTGTTTTAATAATGTCATTATAAATATTATCTTTCATTGTTTGTATATTATATTGTCGAATACTTACATCCAAATTGTACTTGTACCGGAACTAAGGGCAATATATTTATGTTGAAGTTAATGTGAAGAAACTCTAATATATATCAAAGTATTTATTGAAATTTTCAATATTCCGAAAAACTCTTTATGAATTTGAATGTCCCACAAAAGTGCCTTACAAATGTTTGAAAGTACGGTTAGTACCAAACTATTTGAAGACATACCATATTTATATAATCAAATAATATTCAAATATATATGGACATGTATTTTCGATTTTTTCTTTTTATTTATGTTAAAATGATATTTAGATAACGACGCCTAAAAATGTATTGAACATCCATGCTTTACCGTTGGAGGAATGTACGAGTGCATTTATTATAACGAGAAAGCCAGTCTTGTTGATAACAATGGGTCAATGGATCATTGTCGAGTTTCTCCAAATATCTTATAAAGGACATAATCGCTTTTAACATTGATTGCAGTTTCGCGGACTTCATCGTCGAGGCTATCACCTGCCAATTACTGAGGTTAAAAATTATATCAAAACTTATACGTGAGTATAGGACTTTAATATATATTAAATAGAATTTATTATCATTTAACATTTTTAATAATATTATTAGAAAAGAATTTAATATAATAATTTTAAACAATTTTTGAGAACACAATTCGTAAATTGCATATTTTTCGATTTGTTTGTAGTTATCTATTCTATATTATTAATTTTAAAATATGTATTTCATATTCATTTGACAACTTTTCTAATAATATAACAGCTTCATTGCTTCCCGATCCAACTGATTGGCTCTATTTGCAGGTTTAACTGGAGCTGCGATCTATTTAGTGTAGTTATTTTTGAACTTAGCTTACTCGATTGTCGTTTTTGACTACAGTAGACAAACCATTTGCCTGAAAGGTAATATATAATCTCAATATAACTTATTATGCTGAAGCCATACATTAAAGACATTATGCCACCAAAACGATCTGTAAAGAGAATACTATTTAAATTTATTTTAAAGAAATAGTTTTATTAATGTTCAAAACACAAACATGTGTATATATATCTCAATCCATGACCTATTGTCATAAATAATTCAAATTGGTGCATGAAAAGAAACACATTATGAGAATATGGACAGAGATCAATTTTCAATATTCACCCAGATACATGGTGTTAAAGAAAAATCTACTTGAAAAGGAATAACTCTTCATAAAATGTTTCATCTGTATTACTAATTGAAAGAGTTTGGAACTAATGCTGATTTAAATACGATTTTGTTTAAGTTTTGGCGAAATTTTGGAATATCTCATAAAGCTCAAAATTACACAGATTTTTTTTAATTGACCTCTGAAATGTCAAACCACTTTTTTCGACGAAAACACCATGACAATGCTCAAGTTTATAAGGTGTATAAGCGCCTTATAAATGTGTATTGGTTTATTTTTATAGAAAATATAGACGACAGTTTTTGACTAAATGTTTAATGAAGTAAATTTTTCTATGGTACCCTATATTCCATAAAGTATTATTGATAGCATATTTATATATACGACGAAAGTTAATTGATATGTGCTTATGATACTGAGATATCAAGTATAAGTTGATCAATTTACTCACTTAGTAGGACAACCCAGCTGCTAACAACATTCGTTTCAGTAGCCTGAGCAAAGCGTTTTGCAAAAAACAATTTAATTACGGCTAGAGGTTGATCATTGTTTAAGTCCTTGCTGCAAATATTTATGGTAACGGAATTTAAAATTCGATTAAATCTTATGCACATAATAGCACTTACAGTAGACCATGACTGTAGCTTGTTCCGTAACGCGACACAACTCTTCGTAATGGTAGATCGTTGACAGATACATCGAAGTTAACACCTTTGCATGTGGGCAAACAGTGAGCACAACTGTTCGTTGTAGACTTAGATTGACTACTCTGGTTATCCACATAATCAAAATAGTTAAAATTATACCACAGCTTTTTCCACTTGGTTAAACAAGGTACATCCAAAAGGTTACATACGCTCGCATTAATAATGTATGTTGGCCAAGGTGCATTTACACATCCACAGTAGTCTACCATGCTTTTCATACGGCAAATTAATAAGCATTCATCCAGTGAGTAATATGACCTAAAACGTCATAAATATACGTAGATACTATCAGAACGATATAAATGATAAGATTGCTTTTTAAATAGATTGCAATTTGTACTGAATTTCGTGGTGGTTTTGTTACAATGTATTCTGACCTTACCTCATCCGATTGAATCGATCCCCTTTAGGAACATGACACTCATTTAATTAACTTTTATTAATAATTTGTAGTATATATCTATATTTTACATAGTCTTGGTTTTTCATCGGAAGTTAGTTATTCATCTAAATGGTTCTGCCATTCAAGCAGCAGGGTTGGATACTTGCTCCGTATTTTCTTCTCTTTAGTATTCGTAGTCTACTTTTTCTTTCTGACTACACTACCAAACTAGCACATATCAAGTCCCATACATTACAATATCCACCTTAAATCACAAAGAAACAAACCAATAAATTGACCTAAATGTATTCTTCACGTCAGATAGGTCATATAGGGAGACCTTAGATAAATTCTGTAGTAAGCTTTTAGGTCAGACAAAAATTGAAAACTTGTTAATATTCTGCTCTATTACTACATTTACCACAGATTCTTATTTTCTTAAATGTCAATCTTAATTTCAATATTTAAAACATTTAACTTCTTAATTATATATATACGGAATTCTGAAACTATGTATTAAATAACATTTTATATTATTTCTTAGAATTAAAATCAATTCCTACTGAAAGATATATAAGGACCACTACAAAAGTTTTTAAAAAAAAAAAATACTTGGGAGTCCATTTTGTTTTACATATTCGGACATCCGAAGTATGGATCAAACAGTTTCAATGAAAGAGAGTGATAAAAACGAATCATTGTTTATAGAGGCAATCATGTTAATTACTGTAATAGGCGATGCAATAAACAGATTAAGCTAATAGAGCTTTGTAATCAGACTTAGTAACTGATGCCTTATGACTTAAGGAATGTGATCGACAGACTCAAGGCGGTTCAATTCAAACACGAAACAATTTTTAAGTATCATCCTTTACGAAATGTTTTCTATTCAATTACTATTAAAACACCACTAACTTTTCCTAAACAAGATGGAATCGTTGGGATTGTCAATCCATTCTGATCGAAAAATTTAAAGTGAATCTGACATTAATGAACAAATCAAGCAAATCTAATGTCAAAGAAAATGCCAAAGAAAATGTAATCCAACATTTGGTAAAGCAGTTTGAAAATTTAAATCAAAATTCCAAATTAGTACAGAGTTAATAAATAATAGAAACTACAAAAACTGTGTTGTTACTTGTACCCCATCATTAGCATTATCATTATTTAATCATTATCTTATTTGCTCATTGCTTATTTTTATATCGTATATTAATATATTTTACTGGACTTCGGAGAGCACCCTTTGATGCATCCATTTAACGTCTATCTCGGAAGACTTGTGAAGATATATGAGTGCAATTCATTTCCGACAAAAAAAGACTGAGCTGGTTTAAGAATCTCAGGTTAAGGATTTTAAGATAGCTCACCACAATACCATTTTACTGTGAATTAGTGCTAAAGAACTGCATTTATTAGGCATTAAATTTAAAATTCAGAGCTTTAAAAATTTAGGAACACATATTACACGTTAGCAGTTTTAAAGTCAATTCTTTATAGAAATCCATATTTTTTATTTATTTTAATGTATGAACTAGCTTTTCAATAAAAAGAATATTTAATTTGAGTTGTCTTCGTACGATTTTTTTTGCAATTTTGACAACTATTAATTAATTTGGTTTAATCTTCTTTATAGAGTCTGTAAAAGTATATACTACAAAAATGACTATTTCATCAGAAAATAATAGTGAGACTTACAGCGGATAGTAGATCGATTGTTTATAGTAAATATAAAATAAAATAGGATTCATAATACTATATTGAGCTACTCCCGTTAAGCTTTCATGATATTTGGATTATTAATCTCAATGTTTGTTTAGGAGTTTTTGAGATAAAATTTGATATGCCAAAGGCAGTGATATTCCTGCGAAAGTCAAGGAACGAAAGAATCCAATGTTTTTTTGTTTAAATGCGCAGATTGGATATATTTAACAAATTTCTGCATAAACTAATTTTCTGTTTTCTGTTATTGGCAAGAATCTTTTAATAATTATTGTTTTTGAATTAACTTCAAATTTCTTTTTATTTTTTCCATTATTCCATTGACGTAATGGTTTAACTGAGTGCCAAAGAGCTTGTTCACGTATGCAATATTGGGTGTTAAGATGCTATGTCATACAGAGGGTCATATAATAAAAAATACCGTTTAAGTGAACGTTTAAGCGAAAATATCCACCAAAATCGGAAAGCAGAAAAAAGAAGCTGTCAATTTTGCACGGCGATAATATACCTTTGGAGAGAACTGCAGTTATAATCGAATATGATGCTTAAAAC